GGCGCATCCTCGGGCCGGCGCGTCCTCGCCTCGCCCCGCCAGCCACTGCAGCTGTGCCTGCCCGTTACCGACCCGCGTGGGTCAGGGGAGGGCGTCAGCTCAGTGTCTGTTTCCCCTGGGTTTCTCTGGGTTCGTCGCTCAGTAGCGAGTAACTTGGGTTCCGAGTACGCGAGGCTGGGGCTGTGAGTCACGGGATAGGAACCGTCAACATAAAAACCATCAAGTTCTCTGTAAGGGCTGGTTTGTTTTGTCCTACTGATGTGTAACCACCGCTGGGGGACATTGTACATCAACTATATGGCAGGGAGCAAGTATTGTGGATTTTGTTGCTGGAAACAGATTACGCTCCAGCTTTAAACAAACCTCTGTGCTTGTAACTTCACGTTTCCTTGCCTCTCCACATCTGAGTAACTGAGCAATTAGAGTGCACCTTAACTTATAATTAAGTGCAATTTTCACTCTTTTGGCAGGGCCAGTCACTTAGTGTTTTCTTTTCTGAAGAGATTGCCACTTATCTTTTTTGTTCCAAAGTAGACCTAAGAATGAGACTAATTTGAGATCTTTGTGGTTTTTTTGTTTTATTGGTGTCCACTGCTTTAAAGGAACACAAATTTACTTTTAGGACCTTGCATTTATTTAAAATAAAACATATTTCATCATCTCTTTTCAATAATACATTTTTTATTCTCTTCTTTTTAGATCTTTTGCATATTTTACAATTAAAGATAGACTGCCTCAGATCCTCACAAGAGTTATTGATACTCTGCATCGACATAAAAATGAATTTTTTGAAGAACATGGTGAGGTAAGAGCAAGGTCGGTTTTTGCTTGAGATTCTTCCACCAACCCCCTTGAGACTCCTTTTCTGTCTTGTTTTTACTCCTTTCTTATTGCAGTCCTTACTCGTCTGTCTTAATCTTTTTGTCTGTTGTTTTTCTTTATCATCTCTTTATTGTAGCTAATTTTCATTCATTTGGTAACTTTCTGTCTAACTTTTTTCTGCTCTACCTGTTCTGCAGTTGCTTTGGTTTCTCAGGTTTTTTTGTGGATGCAGTGTTGAGTGGACTATAGCATCTTCTGCAGATGGCAGTGTTTCAATGCTTTGGTGCCCTCTGATCAGCAAAAAGTCCAATCCAAAAAGAAGCCCCATGAGCAATTAATTTTAGGATGTTAGGTTGAAAATGGGCTTCATTCACCAAAATGTGTTTCGTTTAATCGTCTCTGATCTGTCAGGGACTCATATTTGGCAATTAAAATGTACAACTTAATTATTTCATGCCAAATTAATGTGTGTCTCTACAGAAATAAACATTCAGAATAGGAACTTTTGTTCTTTGCTTATTTCAGAAAGGTGTTGAGGCAGAGAAGAGAGCAATATCTTTCCTCTCCAAGCTGCGGAATGAGCTGCAAACAGACAAACCAGTGACCCCTTTAGAAGATGAGCTGCCTGATGCTGCGCTGTGGAACCAATACCTGGACTACCAACGAAGCATAAACAATGGAAATGGAGAACCAAGTTGGTTTCAGTCCCCTTGGTTATATGTAGAGTGTTACATGTATCGAAGAATTCATGCAGCATTAGCACAGAAGTAAGTATTTACTAGCTTGGTACATTATTCTGCAAAAAAAAAGAAAATATTGAGATTTTACCATATTCTTTTTCCCTTGTCTTGCATCTCAGTTTAAAATTAACACTTTCTTCTTCCATGCAGCAGAATTTGAAACTTAGTAGGTTTTCTTATGTTTCAGTTTGGTCTACATGAAAACTCCTGAGTTTGACTGTATAGTTTGACTTTCATGCAGACTAATGTTCATTAAGATCTTAAAGTTATTTAGCACTGCTAAGAGGCTTGTTAGTCTAGAATTATCTCTTACGACACATTAGCATGAAACACAATGTGAGAGCCACTCATCTGTTGGGCATGCTGACTTGTTTTGCTGCCTGAAATCTGAAGCTACCATTTGAGAACTGTTTCTTACAGCAGTAAACCCAGCTTATGCAGAGCCTGTTGTTCATTCTACACCATCTTCTGAGTTACAGCAGTGTTTGGAGACCATATGTTGCATCAAAGTCTGGGAGCTGATCCTGGTTAAAAATAACTTGGCAGGAAAAACTTGTGCTGGTACTGTGGACAGGTGCCAGTAAAATGTAACGGGGTAGGAATGAGCAGTTTTAAGTTCCTGCTGCTGCCAAAAAAAAAAAAAAGGGAAGCTCCATGTGTTGACTGGATTTGCCCTTAGTATTACGGAGACACAAGCATGGTAATGGGACTGTGTTTCTGCTGGTATGTTGTGTAATTTGAAGTCTTGTAGCAAAAACTTCAAATATTAAATGGATCTGCTGGATTGCACTTAAAAGAACTGGGCAGATACTTTTCATGAGTAAGCTTTAAGTTTTGTGATTTCCATTCTTTAGCTGCTCTTAAGCATATGCTTGAAGGGAAGAGCGATAATTTGTCAAAAAGTGTATATGCAAATATATCTCATAATAGATTAGTTTGTATTTCTTATATATTACAAGAACGGAATTGTTTTCCCATCTTTGTCAGTTTTCTAAAGTCCTAGTTAAAATCTCTCGTAAGAGTAACAGTATCATTGTAAGAGACTTTGGTATGGAAAGTACACTTCAGCACACGCAAACATGCTTACAGTTTGGCCAGCAGCTCACTATGTTAGCTCACTTGTATGCTACAATTTTAATTCTTTGTGACCAGAGCTCAAAATTGTGCAGTTCCCAGAATTGTTGTGACTGAACACTTGTTCACTTTCACAATATGTTGCTAGAAATATAAAGCTGTCTTGTATAGTGTCTGTTTCAGCAAGCTATATCAGACTGTTACTGAGGTATGTGAAAATCTAGTATGACAAAGTGGAAAATCTATCTAGGGCTTGTAGTATGGTCTGGAAAAGCTGAGCTTTGAGCTTGCACTTTTAAGGCTGTTTCATGTGCTGTCATGGAAAATGTGGCATGTGTGTTAATATATTTGTTCTACTTCTATTTTTAGCCCACCTATTGACAACTTTGATGTGTTTAAGGAAGGAAAGGCTCAAAATTTCTTTGAATCCCAAGAGGCTATTATTACCATATGCACTTACTTTCAGGAACTACTTAAAAACATCAAGGATCTAGATGAAAAGCAACTTAAGGAAGAACTTTTTAAACTATTGCAGGTAAACTGGTAGAGTTTAACATAAGAATTTAAAATATGTTTCCTATGTAACAAACAAAAACCTGAGGTTATAAAGAATCTAAACTTTGTGTGAAAATTAAAATATAACTGTCTTGTTTGTAAAATCCTGACAGCTGTACTGCACTGCTGCTACTCTGATGCCTGCATAAATACAGTGTATTGTTGGGCTTCTGTCACAAAATCTTGTCTACATTAAGATTTCTGTACATGAAGTTAGAATTTTATTAAAGTTAGGAGGAAAATGTGGAGCTTCACCCTTCATGTCCCTAAAAGAAAAACAAAGAAACAAAATCTTTAGTGTATGTGAAGTTTGGAATGTAACTACAGTGAGACTTAAAAAATGTGTTTGTTTTTCCCCCCTTCTAGGTGTCATTGTGGGGCAACAAGTGTGATCTTTCTTTTTCAGCTGGTGAAGACAGCTCTCAGAAAGCTAGTCCTTTACAATCCCTGGAAAACATGATACCTTACGTCATAGTGAATGATATGGAAAAACTTTGGTCACTACTTGTAAATGCCAAAAACAGACATACAGAAAAAAGTAAGATTAGAGTTGACATAATCCTGGATAATGCTGGATTTGAACTTGTATGTGATCTTGTTTTGGCTGACTTCCTGCTATCGTCAAAGCTAGCTGATGAAGTCCATTTTCATGGAAAAAGTATTCCATGGTATGTGTCAGATACCACAAAACATGATTTTAACTGGACTATTAAACAACTGCAGTCAGGTAATCACATGTGGATGTCTAGATGTGGGATAAACTGGGAGGGCAATTTGAAAAAGGGATTTTGGGTTTACCATGATCACATGTTTTGGACTTTGCCACATGATTTTTCCAATATGGCCGAAGTTGCTCCTGACTTGTATGCTGATCTACAGAAGTCAGACTTGCTTCTTTTCAAGGGTGATCTAAACTATAGAAAATTAACAGGAGATAAAAAGTGGGAATATAGTGTTCCGTTCCATCAAGCCTTGAACAAGTTTCATCCTGCGCCTCTCTGTAGTTTGAGAACACTGAAATCTGACACTCAGGTTGGCCTAAAACCTGGACAAGGTGAACAAATTCAGGCT